CAACCAACGTAAAGCACAACGCGGCGCGTTCGTTAGTCGACGAAATTTTTTAATAACTGATGAAAGGTGCGCGATTGTACGGCGAGAAAGTAAAAGACGTACAAATAGTCCGAACACATAGAAACGCTCTTCTACCAAGCCCCCACTTAACGCGGTAAAATTCGACAGAGCGATGTTTGCACATTCACAAAAATCGAGGCTTAAAATTTGTCAAAAATTTTACAAACCACTTAAAATTGGCGCGTTTCCTTCTGTAAAGTTGCGATTCGAAATTTAAAGAGAAACGCGGGACAACGTGGCCGCAAATCGACAAAATCCGACAGGAGAATTTCGCGTCTCGTAAAAATTTGCCTCGAGAGGGAAAGAATTTGAAATCAGCCACGACATTCTCTCTACGCGCGTCGCCCAAATTCCGTACTTCGCGGCCGCAGACGCGGCTGTTCCGCTCGCGACGTGCGACCCGATAAGGGACACGAGATTAATATCGCATCGCGAGACGATTCGAGCGGGTTAAAACGATTCGGGGCCACCGCTCGTACTCGGGCACGCACGGCTCTAATTAAATTCGCAGCGTAATGCGATATTACCATGAATAATTTCGCGATATTATCGTGCCGATATATCGATCGCGACACAGTTATTCGGAAGTGACAAGCTAGGTGGGGAGCAGTTTTAGGATTAAGCGATGTGTTGTCGCGGGGGGGGGGGGGGGGTAATTAACTACATGATAGAAAGTTTGTTCATTAACGACGCGTTCGCCGACGAGACAGCACCGAGCGAGTATCGCCTGGAAAACACATTGACTTTGTATTTTTGTTCACGTCGTTACAAAATGAAATCACGACGGCGCAACGTAAACACGGATTTGTCGGGGAGATTTTTAAGAGGGACAAGACGTCCCCCCCCCTTTTTTTTCTTAATCGCCAAACGAGACGGAATCGCCCCGAAGATATTGACTCGGAGATAATACGCAATAATTATCTTAATAGCTTGTAAGTCATTGGCGCGACGATGTGAAACGAACGCCGCTCGTGTGCTCATCGCACCGAAAGGAAATCAAATTAAGCGTAATCACCGAATATAATTTACAGCCTGCGCGACGGAATTGTAAAGGTCGAGGCGTGACGGAAAATCACCGAGCGATCGTTATCGCGCAGCTTTAATCGGTCAATTAATTCGTGAATAATTGAGCGCGCTGCGCGCCAATGAAAAAACTCAATTTTTCCCTTACGAGGCAATAACGGAAATTATCTTCCGTAAATCGCTACACCTGCCCATTACACGATATCTCAATTCTCCGGAACGTACATACATACAGGGAACGCGCGGAGAATCCCGCGGAACGCTTCTTTTGTTTGCGCATTCGCTCGATCTGTAGTCGATAATTGGTGGCTAAATGGGCGGCTCCAAGTTACACGTGAATTACAATTCGTCGTTTTTATTCGGGAGCTGTTTCTCCGCGATGCAACGCGGCCACGAGTTAACGAGCTAACACCGCGCGTTTGGAAAAACCGCCCGTTTCATTGCGCATACACGAATTTTATATAAATAGGGTAAAGTCCCCTGTTGTGAGACGGGATCCTAATATGAGACAGCGGGGTTTCTGTTAAATTAATAGCGAGGGGGAAACCGCTGAGGGCATTGTGGCGTACAGATTTGCGGCATTACTGGGCATTAGTTTGGGCATTAAGCCTTGCCGGGGCATTATAAAGATAAAATAAGATAAAACAAGATAAATAAGATAAGATAAGAAGATAAAGTAATGACCACTGGGCATGTACAAGATTTTGGTCAGCGGTTTACCCCTCGATCAATGGGCATCATCGGGTGATTCCACCGTGAATTTATTGCCCTTGCAGCGAGATCTATTTAGTGGAAAGTTTATTGTTAGAATCAGCCTTCCGCGCGTTTTAATGACCGACGGACAACAATTGCGGTTTGTCTGCCTGAAATCGTCGTGGGTCGATGCGACCCTTCGGTCTTCACGTCGCCGAAACGTTGACGCGCGGCGAAATTACATCGCAACGGCGTTACATAAAGCGAAACAGAGGGAGATGTCGAGGCTTCGCGATCTATTCTCACGTTAGCGACGTCTATTAATCATCGCCACCGACACCGCGACGCCCCGCGACTGGGATTAGCCTCACGGAGACGGGCAGAAAATCTCACGCGAAAGTCCGATCGTACACTCGCGCGCGCGAGTGACTGCACGGTTCTCTTTAAATCGGTAAATATCGCGAAGCTCGAAAGTCAATATTCACCTGGACCGTCAAACCGGCGAGAGGACCGGAGGATTCGTCCTCTCCTGCCGTAATTTTCCACGATATCGAGGTCAAAATAGAGATATTCCGACTTATGCCTAGTCCACGGTACGCTCTTTGCGTCGAGAAAGATTTTATTTTGTAGCTAATAAATAGAGGAAAGTCCCCTATGGAATAGGCTCCTAATAGATAGAGATAGCGGAGTTTCCGCTAAATTAATAGGCATCATCTGTCGGCTCCACCATAAATGTATTGCCCTTGGAGTGAAATCTGTTTAGTGGAAAATTGATTGTTAGATCGTGTAATCGTTGCGAGAAAAGATTAGAATCCTGTCTCATAATAGAGGATCTCGTCCACGTTTAAAAAATTTTTGCAAATCGATAAATTGCACAGCGTGCATTGACAATATTTAAACGTTTTGATTTGCTTATATAAAATAGAATGTTTCTAGGCGCAAAGGGCGCATTGTAACTTGGGCTTTAGCGACGGAAACACGCTTTCGCACGCCGGTAGAGAAATTCATGAAAGATCGCTTCTATAAATTTCTTCGAAATAAAGTGTTTTCATGGTCGAAATGTGTAGATTATACGCAATAGATAGACCGCAATCCGTACGGTCGAAACGTTGTATTATACATTATTTAAGATTAATAAAATAATGCCAGTTGAGTCGAGGGAAAATTGAAGTTTTGGTTATTTTATTACTGGCGAGCAAAATTATTAAGTTTGTCATTATAATTTTTCTCTCGACGAGGGTTTTCACACGAATGACTTAAAATTTTTACAGACGCCGTCTCGTTATTAGAAAAGTATCAGAGTATGCAATTTTCTCAAAATTATCAACGATTATCTACACAATAAACTTGCCAATTTTCCTCAGGTATTTTTTCATAAAATAAAATAATTAAAGTATCAAAATGTACGTTTTCACCGAGACGAAACACGGAGAGAATTTTCCTTTAAAATTTACCCCAAAAGTCACGCAATCGTGGGACAACGTGGCATCTTGAAGAACTTCGTGACAGTTTCTTTGAGATCGGCCGTAAACATTTTTTAATCAAGTCAATCTGTAAAACCGCTTTCGAAAAAAATTGAAGCGACTTTGACACGAGATAAATGCGAATTAAACGACCCAGGTTTCGGCGTTTTCACCCGTAATCTTGGAAGATAAAGTAAGATTATTACTTTACGCGGGATCATCATTAAACTACCGGCGCCAAAAGACGCGTCCAAGATATCGGGTGTGACCAGGACACTCGCGCGAATTCGTCGTCGAGTGCCGGATAAACGTCGGTGACGGGGGGCCGCGGAAGAACTGCGGAATGTATCCGCCTGATATCTACATATTCCCGACGCGCTGTGGAATATTCATCACGTGTCCAAGAATATCCGCGGACGCATCCGCCGGATATCCCCGATCGCTCCGAGCATGGCACGCTCGCGGTACGACGATCGGAGCTGCACCTTTGACATTTTCCACAAAGAATCGCTCCGAGCGAACAATCAACGGCCGCGGAACTCGACGGGGCGTAGTGCAGAGTCTGCCAGATGCGGGGCGAAATCATTCCCGTTCGATTCGCCGCGTGTCGATCCGTCATAATCACGCGGAAGCGACGTCGAGCGCAAATACGATCTGAAACGTTTAAAGAGCGTCAGTTTCAAGGCAGGACTCATTGGCCGAGCGGACGGCGCCTTGTTAAGGTCGTAAATCTTACCGTAGCGCGAACTCGTAGCCTCATACTTGATCGCGCTACCAATTTAGGAGAGCGAAACGCGCATCGCGAGAGCCGGCGATTCCGCATTGTCGCCTCGCGTCTCCTCGCGACGATAAAAGAAATCACCTCCGCCGACTCGGGCCGGCACGTCCAAATCGATTTCCGAACGATAAGGCCCGGTTTCGCCGGCGTCGTTTAACTTGCAGCTCTCGGCTTAATTCGTTTTTTATCTCGGAGACAGAGACGAGAAATGAATTAAACTAGGATTAAAGTCAGGCGACGTCGGTGAAACGTCGGGCGCGGGCTCTTTTGCTCTCTCGCGAGGATATTTTCGTCCTCGGCGTCGTACCGCGGGCGAAGCTTGGCGCAATCGGCATCCTCGACGGGGAGAGAGCACTCTCGCCGTCGCGTCGCGTCGCGTCGCGTCGAGAGGGAATCGCCTCGACGCCGGCGACGATCGATCGATCTCGCGGTCGGCCGACACGCGCGAATCTAATCTCAGATCCTCCCACGGAGAGGCTGCGGCCCTCGGGGCTCGCCTCTCGCTCGGTCAGTGTCACCGAGACGCTCCGGGCCGACACCTTCTGTCCGCTTTCTCCTTGTAACGGTCCGAGCGACGACGGTCGTTGGACCGGTCGAATAGAAATTAGATCGAGGCGGGAGCGGGTTCTCCAGGACGCCTCTCGCGAGCAGAGGCGACCGAGAGCGGAGCACGCACGCACGCATGCAGGCGTTTATTTACGTCGGAGCCGCGCGAGAGGGGTGGATGGACCCCTCCGTTCGTTAGGCGCGATCGAAGCGGCGGGATCCCGTTGCGACCTGACGTGGCGCGAGTATCTCTCGCATGTGGAGCGTCTCTCGAGCGTCCGGGAGGCGCTCCTCCCGGCGTGCGCGCCGCACCGTCACTCTCGCTAACAATACAGAAAAATATATAAGAAATGGGGGAGGGGAAAGACGGACGAGAGGATACGGGGACGTCGGTGAGCTCCCGGTTGCCCGGAAGCGAACGGGCGCGAGCGTCTCACCTGACTTTTCCGCCGCAGAATTGGCAGTGCGCGCCCTGCCAGCCCTCGCGGCACACGCAGGTGCCGTTGACACAGTCGCCGTTGACGCAGGTGTCGGGGTCGCAGGCCGCGTCCAGCGTCGGCGACGACGAGGAGGCGGAGGTGGCGGCGCTTACGTGGACCACCCAGCAGACGAGCGCCGCCCACAGTAGGAACGGCGCCCACGGCACCGTCGCGGTCGCGTTGCCGCTACCATGGCCGCACCGACACCGCCACCGCCGATCGCGATCGCGCCACGCGGCGACGACGACGGCGGCGGCGGTGGCGGCGGCGTCGTCGCCGCCGTCGCCGCCGTCGCTGTCACCGTCGCCGTCGTTGGCGTCGCGACGGCGTTTCCGACGGTACTTGGACTTATACAGAAACAAAAACATCTGCACGATCTCTGCCATTTTGGTAGGCTTCCATGTCAGGGACAATGGCCGACGGCGACGCGCCGACGAGGGACGCGCATACGGGATGACGACGGCGACGAGGAAGAGAACCCGCGACACGGCACAGCGGAGCGCGGACCGCAACCAGCTCGCGCGCTCGTCCACCGTCTTCTCTCTCTCTCTCTCTCTCTTTTTCTTGCGCGCGCGCGCGCGCGACTCGGCTCGGCTCGGCTCGGCTCGACTCGACTCGACTCGACTCCGCTCCGACACTCGCCCCAACGGCAGACTCGCACGACGGCGACTCGCTACTACTCGCTCTGTCACGTCTCGCTGCACGCCCGCCGTGCCTGCGCTACGCGCGCCGCACTGCACGCTGCCATCACGCTGGTGGACTCCGAGACGACCGCGACTCGAGGGGGAGCGCGCGGCCACCACCGCCGCGCCGCGCTCTATATATCGCGAGGGAGGGACCGCCACTGTCTGACTTGCCGACTGCGCGGGGACACGAGGGCGGTACATCTGTTTTACCGACACATTCGAATACAGTTTGCGCGCTGGTAAATCTTTTTCATATTATAGCCTTTATGCGCAAAATAATGCCAGGATAAGTTGCGGACCGCGTGGCAGAACACTTTCATACTTGAAACACTCGGGTCAGAGGTCTAATGAAAAAGATATTGGTATTTGAACTTTGCAATCTTTTCATCGTGAGCGATTTGAAATTGGCTTTATAAAATTACAAATTTCTTCCGCACGATTATAGTACGCATAAAAACAAAGCGCGGGATGCACGACTTTATACAAAGAACGAAGAGAAATTGAATATATCGCTTTACAAGTAATTGTGGTTAGGTTAGGTGACAGCTTTACATGCCGATATTTTTGATAGCACAAAGGTGAAAACGGGCATTAGAATTTAAACAATACCCTATCCCCCTTCTCCTAACATCCCCTCCACAAGCTCTGAAGCGTCCTGGGATTCGCCTATTCCTCTCCCCCCCCCCCCTACCCCGACCCACGGGTTCCGCGGGCGAACCGAAGCGAGCGGGGCGCGCGCGTGGTTACGATTGCCATGCGTGTCGGCTAGGTTAGGTTCCTCGTGGCACGCGAGACGTGTTGCTGATGCGCGGGCAACGATACCGATTTGCCGCCGACAAACGCGATCCTGGAACAGTGACCGACCGGTCAGTCTCCCGGGGGAGAGAGAGATAACGTAATCTAACCTAATCCCCGGCGTGGAGCGGCGCGACGGCGCGTCCGCGTGTTGTCGTGCCGAACGTGAGGCGGCGGTGAGGTTAGGCGGGACCATGGCGAAGCACCTGATACAGATCCTCGTGATGGGCACGCAGATAATCGGCAAGGCGTTCGCGCGCGCGCTGCGCCAGGAGATCGCGGCGAGCCAGGAGGCGGCGCGGCGGGCCGGCGGCGGCAGGCAGGGCGCGCAGCACGCCGCCGCCAACGCGAGGACCGGCGTCACCCTGGCGGAGGCCCTGCGCATCCTCAACGCGGAGCGGCCCGATCAGACCGAGCTGATCGAGCGGAACTACAAGTACCTCATGGAGGCGAACGACAGGTCGAAGGGCGGCTCGTTCTACCTGCAGTCCAAGATCGTCCGTGCCAAGGAGCGCATCGACGAGGAGCTGGGGACCGCGAAGGGGACGACGACGCCGCCGCCGCCGCCGCCGCAGGGAAGCTCGACGAGCGGTCAAGAAGCTTCCAAGGAGCCATGAGACTCGCCCCTAGTCTAAATTATTCTAATTCTAGACACCTGTACATAACGTCATAATAAACAGTAGATTCTGATATTGACTGGAATGGTTTCTAAGTACGGCATGTTGCTTTCGCTTGTCCAATGTGGAGATTTGTAAATATGTAAGATGATCTTGGAACGTACAGTTTCAATGTCCGAGGGACTCTTGCGAGAGCGAGGTAGTTTCTATACCGTGGACATGACTCGCGTACTTTGTACTGTTGCATCATTCCACGCAAGAGATGGTAAATGAAGGTAGCTGTATTCATATATATGTATATATATTCGGGAGATATATTGATCGATATAACAGTCTTTCAAAAGTTCTCGCTCTTATACGAGACTTTTCAGTTATGATAATGAAATTCTAGCGCTACTGTGTTAATCCAGCTGCCTTCGCATCGTCCGCATCGATTCTGTTTTGTGCCTGGCGTATGATCAGCCGCTCCTGATTGTGGCGTACAGACCATAGATTCGGCAGGTGCTTAGGTTTCATCGTAAAGAGAAAGTGTTCCCTCCACATACGTTCCAACTCGATGAGGCCGCTCTCTAGCTTTTGAAAATGTTGCACCACCTGCGGAACAAGAGTCGAACGAGTAGTACCAAGATTTTTCGCAGACCCTAGCTCAGCGATTATCGGCGCGCGTACCTTTAAGCCGTGTGGCTGATACTTGCTAGGTATCGGCTTCTGGATCAGCGCGTTCTTCAGCTGCTCGTTGAGGGCGTTGAGCAGATCCGGCGTAATTTTCTGCTGCCCCGTGTGCTCTAGTATGTAAGTCTCATACTCTCTGCGCTGCTGCTGAGGTAACGCGAACTTCTCCCTCAACGCCTTGACGGCCGAATGCAACTTTCGGCGGTTCTGCAAGAAGTTGTCCCGTACGTGCGTCAACGGCCCAATTAGTGGTGCGTCACACATGTCTGCTAGCTTTCTTCTGAGCTGCAGGTCATGATTGTTGCTGATTTCGTGACAGGAAGGACACAATAGTAATACATCATGAGACTGATGCGCCTTCATTACCACTGGAAGGAACATTTCAGATTATATAATGTATAAGCGGAAAAAACTGTTATATATATATATATTGTTATACTTTTCTAATGTTAAATAACAGGATGAATAAATCGTTGCAAAAAGAAACGCTTACATGGGAAGTACTTGCGATATTCTCGCGGCACGACGTTCTTCCTGATGAATTTGTCGGTGCACCCACAGACTACACACTGATTGAGTTTCACCTGCGTATAATATTGTCCAACTTCTCCTAGTGCCCGGCCAGACGGCTCGAAGTTTAATTTCACTGTATATGGATCGGTCTCCACAAGTTTCCCCAGATTCTTCGTAATATACCACTCTGCTTTCTTGCGATCGCATGTACACAATATATCTCCATCGGGCGCTTGCAGGTAACAATTATGATATAACGGCTTGATTCTTGTAGGTATCGCATTTTTACGATCGTTAATAGCGTTTTTATCTACTACTACTACTGATTTACTCTTGGCATTTAAAACATTATTACTAGTAATACTGTCCGCACTTGGTGATCGCTGAGCCTTGAACCTTAAACAGACGTAGAGATTCGTGTGCATCTCCTTCTCTTATGTACATACGTAAAACTCTGAGCTGTAACTATGTCAACTTTCGTACCTCGTATCGACTGTCCTAGCAGGTACACCATGAATCCGCACATTTACATCACTACTAAATATATTGTAAAAGTAAATCCCTAATCTTTGCCATAATGAATACTTTTCTTTTTCTTTTTGCATTATCTGTAAAACAAAATTGTGCGCGGGAAGCGTGAGTTAGGTACAGTCTACGACAAACTTGGCGGCGAAGAAAGGGGCGTCCCTCGAATCTCTTACTTTATGATAAATGATAACGGATGCAAGCGCATCACAAGCGGCATACGCAACTTGTTCGTCGGTTAAGGTGCTAGCGTCCCAGTCACCGCACCTGACTTCTATTATTTTGTCCATCTCAATGTTAAGATACTCCAAACTCATGGCAGCTAAGCTCTTCCGGCTCGGTAGATCGAGACTTTCGGCTAAGGTTCTCAGATCAAGGGTGCCGTTGACTCTACAGCCATAATCCTTGACGATCTTTTGTCCGTCCTCGAACGAAGAGATCCCCACTTTAAGAATGTGTTTACTAGCCAGCAACTCCTGAAAGCACAAGGCGGTAATGTCATCGAGACCCCGAGCGTTGCGCGCAATCCAAAGTGTTTTTACCTTGAGCTTGAGTGGAATGTATCCAATCTTCCCGATGCGAAACAGAGCAACTACTCCGTTGAAGGTAGCCAGTTGTAATAGAGAGACGGGCCCTTCTTTCACCCATTCGCAATCAAAACCCAGTACACCATCAGACAGATTGCTGTTGAGGAAACACATATGTGGTGAATTAGTGACTTTGTCGCGAAACGAAATAGCAAGCAAAATGCCTCCGTTTCTTCCAGGACTTGGTAAGGCGGACTTGAGGGACGAACAATTTCGAAACAGGTCGAGTATAGAAATTTACATCGCAAGGGGAAACCGAGTGGATTTATTTTATCGTTGGGAGGAAAATTCTGTCGCGCGGTAGGGCATGTTTTCGTTTGTGTCGCTCGCTCATCTTGCCCGCCGTTGTAACCGGTAGGATCCGGATCCTTGGCGGGGAATCCCAAGGACACGCTGTACACATCGCCTTTCGAATACAACGGGAATCGCCTTGGTATTCGGCTGGCGGCTGGCTCCGGGAAAAAAATGTAAACAGCTATTATGAAAACGGCCGTTTCCACCTGCGTCCGAGCGGGAACGACGTGCGTCCGTTGTGGCACGCCTCGGGGGCTCGCGAGCCACGTGCTCTGGGCATCGGGAGGGGGTGGAGGCCTAAAATTAACGACAATAACGATTAAAAGCGGCGCGCTCACCAACGAATACGCTGTACGGCGTAATCGCATTTCTCCGGGGAGTCCGCCAGAATAATCTTGTCCAATATAAGCTTAATCTCTTTGCTGTCTTTAGCGTCCTCGTCATCATCCTGCCTGTCGCGCCTGGCCTTGCTGCCGCTGTTCTCGCTGCCGTCGCGATTCTTTATGTTCTTGTACAGGTGCTTGACGCTACGAAGCACGTTGTTGCGATACTTCGAGGCGAGAAAAACGAGTCCCACGGTCACGCAAACGAGAAACATGTTGCTACGTGCGGGAACCATTAATCAACGGGGGTTGGGGGGGCGCGGGGGGAGAGGCGGAAGGACGCTTGAGACGCGCAGAAAAAAATTCGATTTAAAAAATCAACGTTATATATACAATTCCTTCGTTAGTACGATATATAATTATATATACAGGCGCGCGCGCGCGAGTTACACGTGTTGAGCGTTACGGTAATTCTTCCCGATTGAGGCGTCAATCGCTCGAGGGATCGAGCGATCGAGCTAGGCACCCCGATCCGTAACGATTACTCGGCAACTCGGTGACACGTCGATCGATCACAGTGGATAAACTACTCTCTTCTCAGACTCGTCTCGAAGGCATTAATTATAAAACTTGGTACGCAACTCGCGATCGCGCGGAATCATTCGACTAGATAAATCTACGATTATCTGAAGTCGCGGTCGCCCCTGCACGAAACTGCTCCGTGTAAAACAATCATCTCGGTGACCAGCTCCGATCCCATCGAAATTTCAACGAGGTTCAAGCGACCTCCCCGTAGCTGTAACGGATGGCCGGCGCACGCGGCTACGGGTATCACGCACGACTGACGGGGTGGCTCGTGCTCGGCCCGCGTTTATCCACCCGGTGAATCCCGCCGGCGTGTCGCCGGTACGACGACCCATCTCGATCTCTCGCCCCCACCGCAATCGAGAATAATCGCGATTGGGAGCGCCTGCGCACTCTGGCGGCGACGCGCAATTGAGTTTAAGGCCCGAACACACGAAAAACTTGAGCAGTAAAGTTCTAGTTTCGAGAAATTTCTAGCCAATCACGTTGCAGCTATTCCATAAAAGCTGCAAATCGATTGGCCACACATTTCTCGGGACTAGAACTCGGACCAAGTTCTAGCATCGTGGACACAGACGGATTGGGATTGGGATTAGATTGAAATTTAACCAATCACAGTAAAGTTTACTAATCTCAAGTTTAGTAACGTTTAAGGCCTTCACACACAAAATTCCGTAAGGACGTAAAACGTAAGCGTAAGAAAATCGACCAATCACAATCGAGAACGTAAGGCAATAACGCAAGCAGTAGCGAATCCAATCTGTTGATTTTCTTACGCTTACGTTTTACGTCCTCAGGGAATTTTATGTGTGAAGGCCTTTACTCTAATTGGTCAATTTTCAATCTAATCTCAATCTCAATTCGTAGTCTGATAAAGGCTTGAGAGCTGCCGCGGCCGGGTTTTATGCCCATTCTACACCTAGGGATGATCCTACTTGTGGCTCATCCGATACTCGCTTCTATACCTAAAGCTAATCCTACTTACAGCTTATCCGAGGAAGTAGTATAAAGTGTAAAAGGTACACTGTAGTTGTACTTTGGTACGATTGGAAACCAACCAAAGTGTAAACCTTTTACACTTTATACTACTCCCTCGGATAAGCTGCAAGTAGGATTAGCTTTAGGTATAGAAGGGAGTATCGGATGAGCCACAAGTAGGATCATCCCTAGGTGTAGAATGGGCATTAGGTGATGTTCGAATGCGACCTCTGTGGACATTGGAAAGCGTGGACACGAACTACGTAGCCAATGTCCACACGTTGCTAAGTGGGTAATGCAGATTTGCGAAATTTTGGTCGCGCTTCCCTACCGGAAAAATGTCTATAAATAACTACTTTTTATAACACTTTAAATTTACGTAGAATTTTTTAGATTCTGGCAGTCAATGAAGTTTTCACATTTTTCACGAGTTCACGCTAGAGAAAGAGATTCATGATCGAGCCCCTGAAAGAGAGCAGTAAAGGCAGCAAAGGCAGCAAAGGCTGGAAACTCGAAGAAACAGGGCCGCCAATCACGCGATCTCCAGCCAACTTCGCCCGGCTGCTGCCGCGCGGCTGCACTTCCTGCACTCATAATAAAACAGTAGACTGTAGATGATTAGATGTTACGGGAAACGGGGGGAAAAGATGATGATAGATACGTAAAGTTGAAAGCGCGAAGCTTATACTACTTTATCAAGGAAATCTAGATACGGTGGTTTACGAGATTACAAAGTGCGTTTCGAAACTCCTCAAATAAAAACGTCCCGACCGCAATCGGCAAATTCGGTCATATATAAATTGTCGCATTCTATCTCGACGCAACATTCGCCGTTAATATTACTTTTAAAAGCACAGTGTTTTCAGCAGACGTGCCTTTAAATACCCAGTGAGAAATGATTCGTCGCTCGATGTCGACTCGACGTCAATTTGACTGTGTCGATGTCGATGTCGACACTGGGTAGGTCGTCAACCGCTGCGAAATAAATGCGGAATGTTTTGTCGACGCGCTTAATTGTGTTACGTTCCCTCGCGCGCCCGGAGCCTCGATTCTTCAATTCATTCGAAAGAGAAACGTGTGCGAAAAGAGTAGAGTTACGAACAATCCAAATAGATTACTAATTGCGAGCCCCAAAATGGGTTGCTGTCTTTTTTTCCCCCAGAGCAGTTGTCGATTATTAATTTCCATCGATTGATTAAAATCCACGCGAATAGCCAATCGCCGGCACGCTTCTCCTCCGAATGAATTCAAGAATCGAGCCCATGAACATCTTCAGCAGTTTTTACAGCGCCCGCGCGAGACAGTCCCTCGCGATTGGACTTTTGCGTTTATTTCCTTTCTTCCTTCTTTTTCTCCCTAACTCTTAACCCGCTGGCGTACTTAATTTTAAATGCAGATAGCATGACGTGGTACAACGGATATCTCTCGTAAACACATTGAAGAAGTTTATTGTTGCGTCCGACGATACAAAGTCCTACGGGCCTACTTTCGCAACGTCGCACCGGGAATCTCCTGAGAAGGTTCACGTATCTTTAAACTGAAAAAAAGAGAAAGATAACGGCTCACTTCACTCGGTTATCTCTTGCTTATCTCTATCTTGATTCCCGATTATCTCGTTCTACAACATAATATTATGTAAGTTCTACGATGTGTATCTTTCTACACACTCCGCGTATTAAGATATAATGAATTGGGTTATCCCTTCTCCCATCAGTAACGCGGTCTCTTGGAGATAATTTTGCAATGAAACAAAACATTTAATATTTCCATGACAATCCAAAATATATTCTCCACTGTCGTTCGCGACTTCTTCTTATCTTAACTTTTCAATTCGCTGTGGGCAAGAGTCTTTCGATTTCGAGCTGAGTGACAATTAAATCGAGCTCGTTCTTTAATAAAAATTAAATCGAACTGCTCGAGTTGATATTTTTATTTTCGTTGTAAGAAAGTAACTGCAAAGTAAGGACTCGTTATTTTTTTTAGTAACTGTAACTGTAACGCGTTACTTTTCAGAATTGGTAACTTGTAAGTGGAACTGGTTACATTTTTAGCAAAAAACCTGTAACTCTAACTAGATACTTTTATAAAGTGACTTTTCCAACTCTGTGCAAAACGTGGAGGAAAGTCCTCTACTAAGCCGTAGAATTCTAATACGAGACAGTAGGTTTTCAACGTCCAAATTCAATCACAAATCTTTTTTCGCAACGATTAGTCCAAGTCTACAATAGAGATTTAAACCCTCAGCCTTGCGAAATTGACTAATCACAGCCGCACATTCTACTCATACTTGACCGTGACTGGTCAATTTCTTAAAGCTTAGGGCTTAAATCATCTATTGTGGTCTGGAACTTACGCGATCTACCGATCAACCCAGACAGCACACGTAGTTCTATGAATATTCGTCTGGAGTGCGGATGTTGTTAATTTCAGAATATTCGAATTGAATGTCCTATAAGTTTGTATGGATTTCTACAATTAGAAATCGTCCATTCACAGCAAAGGAAAAACGTTTTCAAGATATTCGTCGAGAATGCTTGGAATATTCGTGCGGAGTAAGTTTTGAATATTCATCGATTGCGCATTGTTTATTGTGTTATACACTTATCTTATGCAAAAGGCAGCGAAACCTGTGCTCATGCTATGCATATGCATAACCCGACACGCTAGAGTCGACAGATTGTTCTATTCACGTTCGAAAAAGATTTACAGTAGTGCCAGTCAAATGTTCTATGAACATACGATAAATATCTAAGAGTGACCGCCCATACAGCACCTTGCAGCTACATTGCAGCAACGTTACAGCAATGTTGCAATATTGTAGCAACGTTATTGCAATGTAACTGCAAGTTTTGTGCTGTACGGGCAATGGAACATTCCAAGTATCAACATCAGTGATATTTATTGGCCGTATCTGGCAATTTTAATATGCCTCAGTGGTCGAATTTCACGTCCTGGTCCAAGTTCAAACCCTGGCTGAGGTAATATTTTCCGCAATAAATTTTCTGTATTATTAAAATTGCCAGATATATGGTCAACAAATATCACTGATGCTGTTTCAGAGTATTCTCATTAGTTGAGTCCAAATATTCTTGAGGAATTATATTCTCAAAATGCCCACAGGAGTGTCTTGCACGTGCAATCGATCTAGGAATTTTCCAGCAAACGGGTTTTACTCCAAGGGCAATGAATTCATGGTGGAACCAACGAACGGCGCCTGTTAATTTAGCGGAAAACCCGCTGCTCTCATAATCTTTCTCTACAAATCTGCCGATGCGTGCAGAAATTCATGTGGGAAGGCGCCAATGACTACGTTTACACGGCGGCTTATAAGCCGATTTAATAACTACAGTATACTACCCGATCCAAATTTTTTCCTTTTGATCATAACGATCACTTAAATATGAGCTTCTCTGATACTTAAACTATAATTTCTAGTATATATATACATATATGAAAAGAAATTTATTAAAATGTTTAGGGTAACAAAGTAGGCTCATATTTAAATAATCATTATAGTCAAAAGGAGAAAAGTTTTGGATCGGATAGTATACCGTAGTTATTAAACCGATTTATAAGCCACGTGTAAACGTAGTCAATGATTCCCCGTGCGCGTTGTTTCTCCAATCGGCGGGATTGGAGAAAAAATCGTGCGTGCGCGCGTAGGCCGCTCAATTCGCGGCGCGCGAGCCTGGGCACACAAGTCACCGTGCCGTTACGTGTGTCGTAACCGTATAATTTAAACTGATCGGTGATAATACGATGCGCGATATCGGCAGTATCGGCACCGAAGGTGTACGTCGCGCGAGGCCGCGGCGCAGATAAGCCGCCGATAGCTCGCGGAAAAGAGCCCCGGGGCAGCCTCTTCTCGGGGCGCAAACATCCGCCGGGCCCGGAAATTTCTAGGCGCGACGCGATTCCTGCCGCGGCGCCCGAGTGATTCGCGCGGGTAAATATTTCAGCACGACGATGAGAGAATATGATTGATCGATCGTCGGGCGCGACGTCGAAGGCGCGAATTGGGCGACGGTGGAGGGGGAAGGCGGAGAGAGAGAAAGAGAGACGGAAGCTGAACGCGAAAGGAGGGAAAGGAAGACCGGGGTGGAACTTTACTCGCTCTCGCGGGGTTCCGTTCTCCGCGGAGGGGAAAAAAATGCTACTCAATGTCGAAATTTCACGCCTAACCGAGTCGCCAAGAATGGCAATCGATAGAGCGACGCGGGAGAAAGGAAGACGGAGGATATCGAGTGCCGACGCGAGCGAGAGAGAGAGAGAGAGATGGAGGGGGGTGAGAGACCGCGAGATAGACGAGGACGAAGCGACAGGGGAGGGGATGCGGGTATATATATATATATGCGCGCGTTCGACGCACCACGTCGCTCCCGTTTCTGTCGCGCGCGCGGACGAGAGGCGCGAGGATCACGTACGAAGGTGCTGCTGCTGCTGCCCGGCCTGGCCTGGCCTGCTGGGCTCCTCTCCGCTCTGCGTCGTGCCAGTGCCCCCCGATGCGGTGCAACGTGCGCCGTGCGCTTCCCCATGCGGCGAGCGTTACCGAGTAACGCAGCGCGGTGCTGTTCCCGTTGACGCGACAGCCCACCCCGTGGTGCCCGGCGGTCGTAAAGTGCCTTTTCTGTCATTAGCGCCTTCGCACGTAAGATGGTGAGTCCTGGTTCTTCCGTTCCTCCACTTTTCGCTCACCGCACGGCGAGAATTGACGCGGACACGCCGTCGCGCGCGTCCGCGTAGACGTAGCTCTGTTCTTTCTTCTTTTTTTTTTCGTTTTCATCGGCGTTCGCAGTTTCAGAGAGACGGGGTGAGACTGAGGCAGCAGCACGCGGCGAAGCGCGCGTCGGTCTCGGAGCTACCCTACGAGAACAGGCTCGCCGCGGGGAAGCGGGACGCACTGCCAAACGACACCCAGCACCTCCTCTTCGTCCTCACGTACTTCCTCTTCGTCTCCTTCGTCATCATCGTCCTGGAGCGGAACCTGCCCGAGCCGGTCACCCGCGACACCGAGGCGCTGCACCCGGGCAGGTTCGTCGCCGAGCGCGCCCGCGACCACGTGGTGAACCTCACGTCCCTCGGGCCCCGCATCTCCGGCAGCCACGAGAATGAGGTGCTGGCCGTGCGGTTTCTCACGGCGACGATCGACGGCGCGATCAGGACGGCGCACGAGAATCACAGGATCCTCCTCAACGTCACCAAGCACAGCGGCGCGTTCCCGCTCAAGTTCCTCGACGGCATGACCAACGTCTACAGAAACGTGCAGAACGTCGTTGTCAAAGTCGGACCTCACCGGCCCACGATGCACAGCCTGCTGCTTAATTGCCACTTCGACTCGTTCCTAGGAAGTCCAGGTGAAAGCAGTGCGCGACGACTCTCGTTTGCACGCATAATTGTCGTCCGTGGACCCGTCCATGAATATAAATATATTTCAGGTGGCTCCGACGACAGCGCCGGCTGCGCCGTGATGCTGGAGATTCTACGGATAATAACTCGCGGCCCGCGGATACTCAAGCACAGCGTTGTATTCCTGTTCAACGGGGCGGAGGAGAATCTATTGCAGGTATATTAAATTGATAATCTAATCTCTCGACGCTTCCGGCTTATTGATTAGTTCGGGTGCCGTGATAACGCGCGATTCCGCGCACGCCGTGTACTTTGCAGGCGTCCCACGGCTTCATAACGCAGCACCCCTGGGCGAAGGACATACGAATGTTCATAAATCTGGAGGCGTGCGGCGCCGGCGGTCGTGAATTATTGTTCCAAGCCGGCCCGCACAATCCCTGGATTATCGAGGTATATTATCCCCGCTATTATTTCTCCCGCTGCCTGGCGTTAGAGTTAATTTCTTATCATGGCGCGTTTGTTAGATGTACGCGAAGTCCGTACCGTATCCCTATGCGTCGTCGTTGGCTCAGGAGATATTTGAGAGCGGTATCGTACCTGGCGACACGGACTTCCGGATATTCAGAGACTTCGGAAAGATTTCCGGTTCGTAAAGGTTGCAGTATACAGATGCGTTCCGACAACTTGTCGCTGCGAAAACATTTTAACTAACTTGCACCTGTGAAATTTCACGCAGGCCTGGACTTTGCATGGTCGAAAAACGGTTACGTATACCATACTAGGTTCGATAACGTCGATCAGATACCGCTGGGGGCTTTGCAAAGAACCGGCGATAACATACTCGCCTTGACACAGGGAATAATATTTGGAGACCACCTGTCGGACATCGATGCGCAAGAGTCGCGGGGCAGCCTCGTCTTCTTCGACTTCTTGGGCGCATTCGTTATTAGATGGCCACAGTACATTGCCAGTACAGTTAATATCGCCAGTATAATTATAGCTGGGTACTCTATCCATTTGAATATGCAGAGTGCGCGTAGAAGTAAGAATATATAATTATTATTTAGATCCGGCTGCGCCAGTAGACCTGAAAATCTCGGTTCTCGTTTTCTCGAACAAATCTGAGTAATACAATCGAATTCTGCGTTATCGGATACAGATGTTAAAAGATGGATGTATATGAGACATTTACTGATATGCATCGGGGTGATCATAATCTCGTGGTGGGCATCCATGTTCTCTTGCACGCTAGTCGCCCTGTTCCTGACGAAGCTGGGGAAGGTGATGAGTTGGTACGCGAGGCCGGCGTGGCTGTTCTTCCTGTACGTTTGCCCGACCATATTTGTGTCGATGATCGTCATCTTGCAAGCTGGATCGAGGCAGAGAAAGGCAAGCGACAGAAACATTGCCGCGCAGCGATTTAAATCCTTGCGGGTTGAATGACGCCAAACGGATTTGCTTGAAAGCTCATTGCGTACGAGTACATATTATATTCATCTACGATTGTAGGAAGTCGGCTCCGCCTGGATCTTGTATCACATATACTGGGACGCGTATTCCGTGATATGGATGTTGATTCTCTTCGTGTGCGTATTATTTGGACTACGATCGGGCTTCATACCGCTCCACTGGGTCTTGTTCCCGGCGATTGGCAATATCGTGCGACACGGCTTCTTCAGCAAATGGAGAGGTGAGGACGCCCGCGGCATCGTTTCTTACGAATTTCTTTCTTTTGTTTTTTTTTTTTAAATGCTAACACCGATAACCTTCCATGTAAACTATTTTTTTAAGTATCCTAATCACTCGACTGAATGTACCTTTATGAATTTTGTAGACTGGAAATGGCTTTGTTACCAATTGGGGTCGTTGAGTTTGTCTTACATACAATCGTTTTACTTAGCGCTCGGTGCTCTCTATCTCTTCATCCCAATAATGGGACGATCCGGTGGCAGTATTAATTCCGAAGTTGTAATAGCTAACATGCTGTCGATATTATTCTGCCAGCTAGTTTGCTTCACGGTAAAATATTAATAGCTTCGATTCTATAATTCGCACGACGTAAATTTTGATTCTCTCGTACGAATCTCTTCTCGATGTCTGTCATAAAAATGTAACTCACAATATTTTCAGTTGCCAATAGTGCTTCTAATAAAGAACGCGGAACGAATTATAAGTGTGATTGTTGGAATTTTCTTAATCGCTATTGCTGTGTTAATTCTAACACCACTTGGATTCCCTTACAGTGGTGATCCGTTGTCGCCTGCTCCACAACGATTCATGATCGCGGTAACATAATTATCTTTTCTTGTCTCTCTCCTGAAAAATCTTCGATGGAAGATGATGTAGATCTGTATATTGCTCATTCTACCTTCGATTTACAGCATAGTCGACGCCAGTATTACAATACAGATGGTATTGAGAGGTATTCCGGTACGGGATACTGGTTAGTGGATTTAGATATGAATAGTCCTTACAGCGTAGAATCAATAGTACCTGAAGTAGCTGCCGCGACGCCGACAGTCAGGGATTGCGAGAAGGAATTGTACTGCGGCTTCCCGTATTTAATGCCGGTCACAACTTTCTTGTGGTACGTGTCAGAATCAGCGGCACATTATTCGAGTATAGACGCACGAACTGAGAGGAGACTCGTTTTACAGGAAAACTACCTGGATACCCGGACCTGCTCCGCTCCTAAGTATTCCGACAAATCTCGAGATAATTTCAAAGACTGCGAAACAGCACATCGTTAATTTCACCTTTAACGTTACAGGTGAGATATTGTTACAAGTTCGGGTAACTTAAATTTTACGTGTCTTCGCGGAATAACGATTAAATGTTATCCTTAAAATTTATTCAGGTCCCGACCACATAGGTATAATTTTGTCTCCGTACAAAGGTGTACATTTAGAAAAATGGTCTATAATCAACGAGAAGCCATTGCAAGGTCCAATGTGGAACGACAGAGAGACTTATTTTATTTATTACGCATGTGCCTCAGATTGCGTGCCATATACATTTTCTATCGAACTGAATGTAAGTGTTCATCGTGTTAGCTTAGAACAGAGATAAGCGTTGGCTGTGCTGCAAATCAAATGTGGGCTTTTGGCGTTCAGGTGTCTTCAGTGCAGAAAGGACCATGCTTATCTATCGCACTGGCCGGACACTTCTTGCACGGCGAACACCAAAGATCTCTAAGATTTAAGAAGTTTCTGGCACAGTTCCCACCGTGGACTGTCATCGCTCCCTGGACAGCGTCGTACAAGTCATGGGAGCTGTAACAAGGACAATTGGATGCGGTAAACGTGACTAGAGTATAAAGCAATATTGTCCGGATCGTCTCTCGCGAATTAACGAAGCAGCCTAATAAAGCGGTACTATGCTTTTCGAGCACGAGACCTAATGCCACGGCGACGTAATGTCGCTTGAATACTTAGACCTAGCCTTCAACACTTCCTAAAATATTACGATTTGAGAAGAGGCATGGAGAAACGTTTAAACGCGATAGAGAATGGAACGGAGGAAGACGTTCCCATTCTGAGTTTATATATGAATTTTTTACTTGCATATGATCGTTAATAGAGACTATTTCGAAGTAGCCTAAGACGTTGATTCAGATTTTAAATCGTGAAGAGTATCTTATCTTAAAAATCATATATAGAGAGATAATATAAAATATATATGCCTGGGCGCTTTCAAAGGTGATAACTACGATTATTTTTCGTAGAAACGCGTACGATAATATTGCATATCATAAGCTTTAGACTGATTCCATGCATTGTCTTTCGATTTTATCATTTTCACGACAGCAGATATCCGCAAGAGGGAGAACGCATTATTAAGATCCAAAATCGAAACCTCGAATTATACGTACAATGTATAGAAACTGTGATTGCATGACGTACGCTCTCTTAGTACGCTTCAAATTTACTGAACAAAATAACAAGTAGTAGTTGAAATTGCCATCTCAAACGAGATGACTAGATCAATAATAGCATGATTAGCGCGCACACGTTAGTGTGTGTTATCGGGCACGTTCTACAAAAGTTACGCAAGTGCTATCTAAACTACATTTCTAGACTTTCGTGCTGTAATACCTTGCAGTTTGCACAAGTGCAAGAGTTCACAGTTTAATCGTCTATATCTGCTGTTTGGTACAAAGTACAGATTCGTCCACAAACAAGCCAAACTCTCTTCGTAGGCAATACAAATGATAGCACGCGCGAATATAGTACATTTACATACCTTAGGTACCGCGGCATCTTAGATCTCGCGACGAACAAAAGTTGCCCGATGTACGAGATAATCAAATACACATTTTAAAGAAATTTTATATTTCGAGTAGTATAATAGGACAAAAGGAGGACAAGTTTCAAATAAACACGTACATAATCGCACACATACGTATGCAGGATATGCTTGACGTGTCTCATTCTATTGAGTTTGAGTATTTCGTTATGCATGCAATCAATTTCGGGCAGTCTCGATAAATATCAGCATCTTGTAGGGCAGCTCGTTATTTGTTTTTCCTCGTAATCACAATCTACGAACCATTCCTCTTTTCCCTAGCTCTAAGGAAAGAGATAATCCATATTTTTAATAGCATATCAAAGAAACTGAGACTTTACGTAGATACTCCTGACGTGATTTAACGATTTTTTTAATAGTTTACATTCACCGTTATCTATTTTTTTAATTTCTGTTTACTGTTACGGAGGTATCCTTAATTGTTCGCTTTCCCCGTGCAACTGTCCTCTTATTCACTGAAAATATTTCTTTTCTCTCCCGTCAAAAATATTCCCTATTAACGTGTCTGTTAATGCATACGAAATATCTATTTCACGATAACGCACTAACAATATTTCGCATGAAGGCATCTGTCACGCATGACAATTAAGAATTAATTATTATTCCGATTCCTCTAACATAATCTTAAGACATCGGTAAGATATCACCTTTCTCTAACAAACAATCGAGCACCTTCGTCATTTAGTGACCACAAAAAGTTATACTAAACTAAAATCGATTAGCAAAACGTATAGTTTCGATTTAACAATTTGAAATGATAGAAAATACCGCTAAGTAATACAGTTCTTTTCTCCATAGACATATCGCGGATAGTTTAATAAACGCCTACGCAAGTTACCTCGCGTAACTTAACGAATTGTTCACTTAACAATGCTTGACAAAATAATATATTAATATTATATTGTAAGACTTCACCGAAAATCTTTCACGGGTAGGGTGTTACATTAGTGATAAATAGTACAACGTGATTCGTTATAAAAAATAATAGTTTTATATAATATATTAAGTAGCGAAAAAAAGAGAGAGACAGTAGCAAAATATGTGATTTTAACGAAGTTTAAACATTTTGAATATAAAGCATGTTGGGAAACGTTTACGTAATATATTTTTGTATGTGGTTCAATTTGTTTCTCCTATTATGTTTGTATGATTTAGTTTATATAATTAATGTCCAATTACCGGTATTAAACTGTGGCTGTTTTATCTAATTGTTCGTTAATTTGCCTGCAGCGTTCAACGTTGAGAACCAATGGTTATGTTACTCTCGATAATGGCACAAATTTACGATTGCGTTTCTACTTAATTCTCGTGCACAAAGTTATCCACGTTACTTGACTGCTATCACTACGTCGTTTGTTACAGGCTGAAAATAACCGAATTATTCATTCGCTTTGTTTTGTTTTCTTTTTTTAACGCCGACGTTATATCTTAAGCCTTGTGTCCACAATCGAAGAGCCTTGTTCAAAGTCTAGTTTCATGAAATGTGTGGCCAGTCAACTTGCGTCTTTTACGGAAAAGCTACGCATTTCTCGGAACTGAAACGGTCCCAGTTCTTGGATCGTGGACACAAGGCTTTGTAAAGATATATCTTTATGTGTTCCATGATTTCTTAGGCGACCGCTACGGTAATCACCATTGCGCTATTACTGTTATTAATGCGAGATATGTAGCGCGCTTGTTAACAGGGTCTTTTTTATTTTTTTGTTTTTTATTTTATTGTTAGGTGTAAAACGAAGTTTCTCGCCTCCTGGCCGTCTCGACGAGATTGACGTACGTGCAATCGTTCCCGAAATATGGGAAAGTGCGTTTTCTTTTTCTTTTCGCATTGTAGTGCGTCCTGAAGCATACATGTATATCTGTACTTCGGTAACTTCGTTTTACGCCAAGTAACCGGCCAAAGGAAAAGGATCCATCCATTGCGTGACAAGTGTACAATTGTAGTTGCCTAATAACTTCGTTTCCGTTATGCCGCGTGCAGGGGGACGTTTTCAGTGATAAAAGTACCGCGAAATGACCAGCGTAACGCAGGACTCAATTCGAGGAATTTAACGTTCGATAAACGGAGCATGTTGATAGTAATATATATGTTTTATTTTTTCCTCCCCTGCCAATTTATTTATACACAGGCGTATGTTCCTGCTTGCGTTATATTAAATTTATCGATATGCATATATCGCGACATTGTTACTTGGCAGTTGTTGTTACATGATTAAGAGATTATATGAAAGAGGAAATAAAGAATTTTAAATTGGAGAATTACGCCAGCCGTTTCCTCCATTTTCCTTCATCGTGTCTTCTGATTTCCCGTAGCGACGACGACGGCTAAATCCGATTAATATAAGTCGCTAGGCAATTAACAAATCGATGCAACAATCGTGCGGTTTGAACTGCCTATTACCGACGTGTGAATGTTTCTTTTTTCGTGTGACGATTCTATTACACAAACAGAGTGTCATCGATGTCGGTTACTGTTACGCGACCTTTTTAATCAATACGGAATTGTCTTCGTTATCCAACGAATCTTTTGTTCACCGAATCAATTTCCTGTTTTACGTACGACACTCTTACACGCCGTTTGTTACGACAATGACGTTGCTTCGCGAGTGAAACTCGCGTAACACGGATCACGCGGACAATCAAAACGATCATACGGAAGACGACATATATTTACTTTTCCTGTCGTCTAGCGTTCGCAAGAAAGAACTGAATATGATTTAGGAATTGACCTTAATGAATACGTGCGTTACGTTAATAATTATATATGTTATTAATATTTCATTATTAGTATCATTAATATTTATAAACTTCGTTACAAGTGACGAGTTATTTCCCGACCCTGCATTTTACTAGTAAAATCTATGGTAAAATTTCCAAAAACTTTGTTCAAAATGCCACGTTGCCCCACGATTATAAATGATTTTTCAGGGTAAATTTTAAGAGAAAATTCTCTCCGTGCAATACATGTAATACATACAATATTGATATTACACTTAATTATAATCATCAATGCGTGCTCATCAAGAAGTGTCTTATCGAGGGATACGTGAGAGAGGAATTTACTCGTCTCGGGTGTCTGCATGCGATGTTTTTCGGCATTCCCCGGACGGAGAACCGGGCTTTCGCTCGGTTCTGTCGCGGCGTTTCGTAAGAAACGTGTCAATATTGACGCACCGGCATCCTGTAAGGCGAGAACGATTTCCTAGTTAAAACGACCCGCGGCCGTCGGTGCCGTCGCACTGATTCGCGCGTCGCGCTCGGGACACGAATGTGATCGTGGCGTCGATTGTGATCGCCGGGCACGTGGATTTTCCCGAGAATCACGGGGTCTCGCGCGACGATCGAGAAATATCGGAGGAATACCGGGCGCGGAAAAAGCTCTCCAACTGTTGTGAAAGTCTGGAATCTGACTAAAAGCGTACGCTTTTTAATTGTGGCGGAATCTAAGAGCGTACTCTCGAAAAGTCAATCAGTGGATTTTCAGTGGAAACAGTGAATGGTCACTGATTATAAGCGTACCACTGCGATTTTCAGTAGTACACTTATAACTGGAAATCAGCGACCATTCACTGATGTTAGCAGTGATAATCCACTGATTGACTTTTCGAGAGTACTCGAATCAAATTTACGAATTTTACAACTGTTGCGCTGTAGCTTTTTCCGCTGAACGCAGCCATTTATTGGAGAAATATTACTCGCGAGGTGGAGGAACGGCGGATTAGCTCGAGGAAAATTCGAGGGAACTGACGAGCGATTGCCCTGAAAAAAAAGATCTTCGGGTAAGTGTTATGAGAATGTTCTGTTTCTGATCTTCCTTTTTCGCGTGCTCTCTCTCTCTCTCTATCTCTCTTTCTTCTACTTTCAAAATAATCAAGATGTATATTCATACTTGGGACGCATTTGTAGCGCTAAACATAGCGGCCACCGCCTTGGATCCATTCTCATCCGCTGTTTTCGCAGACCGGCCGTTCCCCGTCGTTAGAATGCAGTTCGATTGATCGCATTCCTCGTATCGGGCGAGTCAGAACTTCCCGGGGAAGTATCGGGCCTTCGCGCGGATTTACAAACAAGCCGACGGTGTTATTGCGGTGTCGCGGGGACGCACGATTTCCCCGCGTACGCCCGGTCGCGATAAGCCTCGGGCGTGGTAACGGCGCGATAAAGGAGAACTTTTTTCCAATACCGAGTGACGGCGGGAACGAAACCTTCTCGCGCGAATTGAAGAGAAGAACCACCGTGCCACGTCGAGAGACTATATAGATGCACTCAGCAGAAAAGTTGCGCTTCGCACACCGAGAGAATTTTCTCTGAAAATTTATCCTGAAAATCATTCGTCGGGCATTTCGAAGAGTTTTGTGGGTTTTTGTTTTAAATTTTACCGTGCATTTTTCTAGTAGAACGTATGGTAACCCGAGGCGAAAATCTGTGTTATATTGTGCAAATGCTCAAAAGATGAGCGTAGTCTCTAAAAGTCAATCAGTGGATCATCACTGGAAACAGCGTATAGTCACTGATTGGCAGTTACAAGTGAACCACTGAAAATCGCAGTGGTATACTTACAACTGTAAACCAGTTTAGAAGAAATTTTCCCTCCATCTTACAACGCCCGAAGTTGGCACCGCGATATTCGACAGAAAACGATACATTGGCTGCGTTCAGCAGAAAAAGCTGCTTTGCAACTGTTGTAAAATTCGTGAATTTGATTGGTGTGGTCTCTTACTCTTGAGTGAATTTAAGTGCATACGCCAATCAGATTTCATGCATTTTACAACAGTTGCAAAGCAGCTTTTTCTGCTGAACGTAGCCATTTTATCATTTCATTCTAGATTTTAGAACTTTTCATATGTTAAGATTAAAACATTCCTTTCTCTCTGCAATAAATATGATTGGCGCTATATCGGTCCTATGATACATTGAAGTGTGACAGCATTGGATACGGAAATCTTTTCCTGTGGGTGTAGGTCGAAGTTTCGCCTAATCGTAACATCGCGATTCTACGCGACGTCTGACTCGAGCCGGGAATCCCAATGGCGACTCCTCGACCTCGGGCGGTGGTCCCCGCGGAGGCGACAAGCTGTCGCGAGGCTTGTTTTGAATGTTCCGGCGAAACAATAAAAATGTTACGTAAGTGCCAATACTCGCGGCCGCGCGCACGGCCGGCTTATCGCGGCCGATCGGACGTGCACGCGCGGAATTGAACGCGCGAGGTGTCAATTGGTACCGCGGCGCGCGGGCTGTGGTGCACGCCAGGAGGATCCCAATTAGGACGAGCCGCTTATCGAAACCGCCCGATAATCGTCCCGCGTCAATCCGCGCCCGCTTGGCCGGACGACGAGGTCGCTTAATTCTGGAGATCGGATTTATCGGTGAAAGGACTCGCGCGAATCGCGGAGTGACTTCGTGACTTTCACGGTGACGTTTTCCCGATCGCGGCCGGTGCGCGTCCCGCCCGACGAAGGGACGGCGTTCTTCCCTCGGGCCGTTCAATCTGAATTTACATTCGCCACAATCGGCGCAAGACCCTTACGCGGGGTCTACAGTGAGAGTCGCAGACTCGCAGTCGTAAGAATATAATCGGCTGTAATTGATCAATTCAGTCAGGGCACATAAGAATTGGCCAATCGTAGTAGACTCTAATTCTTACGACTACGACTCTCGGACTTGCAGTGTAGACCTCGCATCCATTCTGTTCCCGTGCGGACACGCCGCTGGATCCCGGAGCGGAAACGCGCGCAGGAGCCGATCGGGCCGGCGAGTTTTTCCATCGGAGTTTCGCTAATTAGAGACACCGCGCAATTATGAGCGCCCTGTAAAACGACTTGTTGACCGCAGGTGTGCCGTGTTATCACTCGAGTCTCAACTGGAGTTAATTAACCGCCCCCCTTAATTATTAGCGCGCTAACAACGGCCGGCCCGACCGCGGGACGTACCTTCCCGTCCGACGATCAACGCCGATCTCCCGAGAGAAAAAGGCAAAAATTCTTCTTAAATCTAAGTCACACGAGTTATCATCAAATACGACATACGCTCGAATTCGCTGGTGCTTTCCGCTTTCGAATGCTCCGCGTCGTATTCTCAATGCTCCAAAGTACATCATCAGCTCATGAGTTGCGGTCAGACGTCATCAACGTGCTCCAAAGTCATATTTCTTGAAAAATCAGCTCTTGGAGCGCTGGCCTGTTTAACATATTTAAATGTTACGAGTATATATACTCTCTCTAAAATTCAATCAGTGGATCTTCACTGAAAACAGTGAATAGTCACTGGTTTACAGTTGTAAGTATACCACTGCGATTTTCAGTGGTATACTTGTAACTGCCAACCAGTGACTAGACACTGTTTTCAGTGATGATCCACTGACTTTCAGAGAGTACGCTCATCTTTCGAATGCTACGAGTATGGAGGAAAGTCCCCAGTTATGAATAGACTCCTAATATGAGATAGCGGAGGTTCTGCTGAATTAATAGGCATCATCTGTTGGTTTCACCATGAATTTGTTGCCCTTGGAATGAAATCTGTTTAGTGGAAAGTTAATTGTTAGATCGTGTGATCGTTGCGAAAAAGATTTGTGATTGGATTTCGACGTTGAAAACCTGCTATCTCACGTTAGAATCCTATTTTATAATAGAGGACTTTCCTCTATATACTACGCTTAACTTTTGAGCATTTGTATGACACAGATTTTCGCCTCGAGTAGCGACGGCCCCTCGGCCCCGATCCTACGTTTCCCAATCGTCGCGAGATCGCCTTAGTGCATCGGCTAAACATTGACCCGGTACAACCGAATGTTGGGCCAATGTTCAACCAACGTTTGGGTCCATGCACTGTGCTACTAGGGCGCTCCCTTCGTCCTTGCGACACACCAGCCCTTTGCTCGCAGCGCCGAGCCTTACACGGCGCGTCCGTCGCGCCCTACAAAACTGTAGCCGCTTGTTCTGCAATTAACACGACTGCTCGGTTGCCGCGGTTATAGTAAACGCGCTCCACAGAGCCCACCTCATTTGCACGGCCTACTTCTAACCGAGATCTCCGGCTCCTGATGCTCGCGCGCGCCGTTCCTCTTCGCCCGTCAATGTCGCGCATTGTTCCGCATTGTGGGAAATGACGATTCTCTGGCAGAGCTGCGCGAATCCGTTCCTTTTTTTTCTCCCCGTCGCTATTAATATCGATTACATCCCGCGCGATGACCGCGCGCCCAGTGAGAAATGATTTTTGTCGATCGATGTCGAAACGATGTCGAATCGACACCGTCGAATTGACGTTAAATTGACAATTCATTTCTCGCTGGGCGGTGCCGTCACATTTGCCGGGGGAAGCCGCTCTTGCGCCTGGACCTTCGCGAACAGTCATCGCGGCAACCTTAAGGTTGCCTGCATCCACGATGCTAGAACTCGGTCCAAGTTTCGAGAAATGTGCAGAGACTTGCAGCTATTCTGTAAAAGCTACAAGTTGATTGACTGTATATTTTTCGGAACTAGAACTTGGGCCAAGTTCTAGCATCGTGGACACAGGTCTTTAGAGAGTCCCCTTCGAGGAACCGCCTGCTACTCCCATTTCCATTCTTGCCTTCGCGCATATCGCTCGCTCGGTACTGCTCCCCCGCTAGGGAAAACTCGCAGGGGGAAGAAGCAACCTGTTCCGTTATTATTTCCGTTTGATCTTTGTCGCTTCCCGCGACGCGTCTACGAGAGCGATAAAGACTCCATGACGCGAGCGAAATGACCGTCTACCCAGCGAGAAATGACTCGTCGATCGACATCAACGCCGCCCAGTTGACGTCGACTCGACATCAATTTGAAGGTGTCGATATCGATATTCGACATCGTTTCCGACGTCGATCGACGAGTCATTTCTCGCTGGGTCCTCGTTTCATCCCTCGCGCCCACGGCCGGACTCTATCGAACGAATTTTTCCTAATTAAACGGCACCGACCGGCAGGAGAGGCGTACACCCGGCATGTATTTATATCCGCGGCCCGATTGGCAACCGAATATTCCGCACGCCGGATGGAGAACGTTGGAGAACGCGTAGGCGCGTTCCATCGCACGGCGGCCGTTCGTGCGTACGTGTTTCGCGTACGAATTAATTGTTTCCCTTTTTTTTCTCTCCTCCTCTACCTCCTCTCCTCTCCGCGGTGGCCGGTGAGCACAACACCGAACGACGACGATGACGACGAGGACGCTGCGGTGGCGGCGGCGGCGGCGGCGGCGGCGATGGTGGTGGTGGTCGACGACGATGGCAACCGTCGTCATTGTTGCCGGCGATGACTTTCTCCGCGGTGGCTCCTCGGCTTGTCAGCTAATCGCCCGCCGAACGAACGAGTTACTTTCATCGACGATCGAAGAGCTTATTTGCGTGGGCCGTAGTTTTCCTCTTTTAAGTGGAGGACCATGTGCCGCGAGGCGTCCTCCTCGAGGATCTCTTCTCGTTCCGGTGACGCGCTAGGTGAGTCCAGTCTTTCGACATTCGAAATGAGGAAGTAGCAGGGATAAGTAGAATCGGACGTGAATAATATAGAAAGACTCGGGGAGAGCAAATATGTTCGGAGTTGCGGCGGTTCGGGAGGAATGTACGAGTTTACTCGGAATTCTTCGGCTTCGAAATTGTAGAAGGAAAATTCCATTGAATTTCGTCCTACGAGACGATAAGTCTATCGCGAAAATAAAATATCTGCGCAATAATAATTTGATATCCCTGAAATTTCGGCGCACGGTTTTACAGTCAATCGCAGTAGCCGATCCCTCGAATCGAATACAGTATTGTCGCTTTGAAATAATCCTTCGTCGACCGGAATATGGATAGAGCGTGAGCGCAACTCACGCGCGATTAGAGTTGGGCTGATGGCAGAAAACGATCCGTAAACGCTCAAGTCTGTCTTACACCCGTTTCTGCCAACGCAGTTTAACTTTAATTTCGGTTCAACTTACTTTGTATCTTTTTCTAGTTTTACGAATTGGACAAAGACAAGAAGTAACTTAAGCCGAGATCAAAGTTAATCTGCATTGGCGGAAACGGGCATTAGTCGTGGACGTAAGGCAAGGAAGAGAAAAACGTAAGTCTTAAGCGTTTACGGATTGTTCTGCCACCAGCCACACGCACACAGGTACGCGTCGTGCGGCTGTAGCGCCGAACCTGAACCTTCTGCACCGCAGGGCGCCAAGTTTATACAGCTGTTCGGTGACGTCCGGTACCTTCGCTACCTGAGAAACGTCTGGGCGAGCGTGTACCTGCCGGAGGTAGGCGATACTTCATTTCCCACGAAAAGGTTTCTTTTTCGCGTCGCCTCGCCGCCAGGAAGTCGCGGAGTCCACAGGTGTGCGAGCTATTTGAATACGAATTATTAGTCGAATTGGGGTTCGGTTCGATTTAAATTAAAAATTTGAATTTCAACTTGGAAAGCTTCAAAACTGAACGCCTCGAGTACAAATCGTATGCATGATTCCGGTCATTCCACTTTAACGGCCCAAAAGCTTATCTCTAACGATTTTTTTTCACAGTGAATACACCATACAATGAAATAAATCTTTCTGAGATTGATTAGGGCACTCTTAGATAACACAGGAAAATTTTTGTCACATTCGAAACAATTTTTTACTTAAGCGTTTTCTACACCGTTCGAATTTCGTGTCAAAAAAGATGCAAGTCCGTTGCGTTGAAGACTTTTATTATTCAGGCTTAGCTCAAACAAAAAGTCAAAGAAATTCCTAATCTATATGAGTGTCACTATGTCCCAAACCTCGGTTAAGAATTTTTATTTAAAAATAACAAAATGGCGCCAGTTTGAAAAAAGTTGTAAAAAGTACTTCTCAAAACTTCTTTCAACCTGGCATTTTGTTATCTTTGAATAAAAATTCTTTAAGATAAGCATAGTTTTTGGGCTGTTAAAGTGAAATGATCCCTTAATCGAGTCCCCGGTGGAATCTTTGTTCGGTGGAGAAGCGATCGAGATCGAATTGAGCTCCATCGATCCCGCAACGCCCGAAGGTTCGGCGCGAACGGAAATTTCGGTTCTAGCTCGCCGTTACGTAAAAAACGGTTCTGCGAGACACATATGTATAATATATATATATATATATATATGTCGTTACATTCGCTGCGGTGTAAATTCGTCGTACATTCCTAATCGCGATGCGCGAGGAATGATCAATGCGCGATGCAACGACTCGATACCGTCGCCGATGTCAGAGACGAGGAATTTTCCTGTTGCCGTTCGAGAGACCGAGAGAGAGAGATCCGAGAAAGAAGTTTGCCTCGTCGCGGAAGGAAAAGTGAAAGAAAACAGAATTTACAATGCACTCGTCGGCTCCCACCAGTACTGGCAATCGTTCACCTGATCAAACTCGGGTTCTATGTCGCGAAGAGTCGCGCTTTTTAAATAATTTACCGAGGCTCGAAATGATTAACAATCGCGCGGGCTGAGCTCGGCGAGGGAAGCGGAGTCTCCGGGCCGACCAGCGACGCGAGTATAAAGCTTGTCCCTAGTAGTGCAGTGCATTGGCTAAACGTTGGCCCAATGTCGGTTATATTAGAAATGCATTGGCCGACATTGCCCAACGTAAAGCCATGGAATAAATGTAAATATTGCACGATAATAATTGTATAATATTAGATTTACATTGGAAGCGCGTTGGTCGATATTTGAGAATGTAATAAGAATATTGGTCTAATGTTGTATCAATATTAAACCAATATTCCTAAAAGACATATTGGCTAAATATGTCTAAGCCGCAAGAAATCTGCCAAAGACAGTCGATCATTCTTCTCATATTTGACCGTGATTGGTCGATTTCTTGCGTTACGCGTCCATTGTAGAATAAGCTTAAGCGTGCCGGCTCACTCGCGTGCGCCCGAAGCGTCTCGAAATTCGAAACCACACCGGTTTCAATATCCCCGTTCGTGATGCCACCATGGTGGAATGATAATGACGACGGTCTAGGCGGAGATGCGCGGCAAAATAAGCCGCGAACGCGAACGCTCGGCTATGTACACAATGGGTATGATGTCATCCGGCCGGCGCTCGGTATTTGGTACACGGGTTACGCGTGATTCGCATGAGGAGACCCAGCCCGCGGAGGCCCCCAGGCCCTGGGCCGATTTGGCCGTTCGTTTCTTCGCCATATCCGGTCACCGATGGCGAACACGTGACCCCTCCGGTGGCGCGCGAGTCCGTCCCGATGCCGGAAGTCACGAAGAGCATTAAGATCCCGCGAACGTGAGCGGCGTTTTACGCGCGGACACCATCGAGAAAGCGCGTTTTCGAGGAGCGCGCTTCCGGCTGAAGATACCGAGTGCCACCGAAATTATCGCGAAAATATTGCCAGCTTAAACCGGGTGAAATTTTATTATACCGATTTCGTATTCGCTAAACGAGTCTTCCCTAGTGGCACGGTGCATTGCCACCTGGCATTTTTTAAATAATACAGAACATTTATTGCAAAAAATATTACCTCAGCCAGGGTTTGAACCTGGACCTCCCTGTGCTCTAGGCGGGTGTCTCACTAATTCGACCACTGAGGCTGATACCTCAGCCAGGGTGATTTACATTATTTCCCAATATTGCGCCAGTATATTGTGCTGCTAGAGTTTTCCCCCAACAAGTCAAATCGTCCGACGAATGAATGATTACTGTAAATTGCAAGAAATTAATTATATTATGCAATTTGAGATTTTACTCCATTTCTTTCGTCAACGATACACCTACGAGATAAGAACAGGATAGATACGCCCCGCGGATCATTTACTCCACTTTCTTCGAGGGGGGGGGGGGAAGGGATCGACCCAGTGAGAAATAATTCGTGGAAACGACGTCGATTCGACTTCAATTTGATTCCAATTCACGTCGACACCGTTCGACGAGTCAATCCTCGCTGAGGACGTTTACTAGCGCTTCTAGCGAACGATCGCTAGAGGATTTCTAGGAATGTCGCGGGTGTAGGTGCACGAGAATGTAGCGGGCTTCATTAACGCCTTCTGGCCGCCGACGGGAGGGCGACGGAGAGTGATGATCCGCGATGGAGAACGGCGCGGAAAGAACGGCCCCTAAACACCTCTCGACTCCAGCCAATGGACGTTGGGACGGCGGAAGAGTTCCAACTCCCCTCCTCGAAGACCGCTCCTGGTGTGGACAGGTACACGCCACGTCCTTACGCCCGCGTCTCCTCGAAGGTGTCGACGCCCACGCTACCAGTTGTTCGGCGGCCTCCGGCCTCGTGCAGGTGCCGGTGCCCTCGGCACTCGCGTGCCGTCACCGCAGTTGAATTCCTTATCGTGCGGTATCTCTTGTATTATCTCCCGCGTCTTCCCCTCGGTGTTTACCTACGAAATTCTGCCCCCTATCTTTATGAAATTTGGAAGAACGATAACGTGTTTCGGGACCGACTCGATCGCAAGCGTTTCCACGCCCGCCTGTAACGCACCGGCGCCGCGCCAAGTCCGGCCAGTGAGATCTCAAGGTTCGACACTTGAGGACAAACGCAGTTTGACCTCCGGGCTCCCCGGAGACTCATTAGTTTTCTTCATTTTACTTGCAAATGGACGACTGTGCTCTTCAGCCGAGAACTTCCTAGAAAGTCGTAGTTACAAGTTCAAGGGCACGCAGCCGGCTCGTGTTGCTCACTAAAAATGTGCGAGCGGCGACGATTAACGTGGCAAAATTCCGTAACGTTCGAATCGCGCGGTAATTTCTCCCGTTTAGTCCTTCTCGCGGCGCTTCGGTCCCGCCGATCTCGCGGATTCTCCAACTGCGCCTAAAAGTGCACGACGAGATCTGTGAAATTTATCGTCTATCGTAATTTCTTTATTCAATTGTGCGTGATATTGCCAAAACCATTCTGGTTCCTTCAATCTTCCTCAATGTTACGCGCGATTACGCTTCCTCTTTATCAAACAGGATTGGCGAACGAACGCAATGGAGCATCCGGTCGATCAAGTAAGTGCAAATTAATCCTTTAACTGGAACATATAAGTCTCGCTTATATTTTTGTCTCTTTGGTTTCTTAAGATGCTAATGTCCCGACATTAGTTAATGAATCGACATCGATCGACGTGTAATTTCTCGCTGGGTTGCTTTTCTATGGTGCAAAAATATGTAAAATTATAAGTAAGAAAAATATGTCGACCACGACTTTATTAAAATTTAACGTTTCGACCAATATTTCTGGTCCTTTCTAAAGCCTTGTGTCCACGATCCAAGAACTTGG